TTCATTAATTTTGTTCAGTTATATTTACAACCTCTAAGAGTATCAGGTTGGTAGTGGGTCCAAATAACTGACAAATGCAGAGACAGAAGGAATGCAACAATATTTCTTAAAGAAATGTTTAATTATATCAATAGCAACTGCACATTTATGCAAGTGTTTCTTCCAAGTAGTCAAGGACTCTAATGTTTTTAAGTATTTGCAGAGTAAATGGAGTTTCACATATTTATTTAACAAACATTGACTGAATTTCTACACGTGCCAGGCACTGTACTAAATGTTATGGACATAAAAATAGGTGACATGTACCTTAACTTTAACAGCTCACAGACATAAATACATAATTCCTTAAAATGTTATAAATTATAATTTAGGTATGTACAAATGCATGTACTACAAGTGTCCTTTGAGATAGGTTGGAGATTGGTTCTAGGCCTCTATGGATTTCAAAGTGTGCACATGCTCACATCCCTTATATAAAATAGCATAGTATTTCCACATAACTTAAGCACATCCTCTCATATACTTTAAACCATCTCAAGATTACTTGTTAATACCTAATAGAATGTTAATATTATATAAATGGTTGTTATACTGTATTGTTTAGGGAATAATGACAGAAAAAAGCTTGTACATATTCTGTACCAATGCAATTTTTTAAAAACGTATCATTTACAGTGAAATACTCAACGCTCAACGTTATTTCTTCTAGCTTTTAGGATATAATTGTTATATTCTAAAGTCACAATTGTTTAGAAATGGATTTCTTTTTTAAAATTTTGTTTAAATTGTTGATGGACCTTTATTTTATTCATTTATTCATATGTGGTGCTAAGAATCAAACCCAGTGCCTCACACATGCTAGGCCAGTRCTCTACCACCRAGCCTCAACCTCAGCCCTAAAAATGGATTTCTAAGCCATGGTTGGTTGATTCCATGGATGTAGAATCTATGAATAGAGAAGCCCACTGTAATTGAGTCTGCAAGAGAAATGATGGGAAAATCTATAAAGAAATGAACCTTGAGAAATGTCTTAAAGCAGGCATTTTAAACCTAAATAAATCCCTGTTGAGACCAGGTAGGTAAATAAAGTAAGGGATGTGGCCATGGTGAGAACTATGGCAAACTGAAGACTTTCTGCACTCCTAAAAGGGTTAGCTGCCATTGAGAAAAGTCAACTGTTGCCTCATACGACTGTAGGCCCAATGTTATCAGAATTCCAATATTTCATTAAAAGATGGAAATCGCATTTTTGTGAAAAACAACTGATTTTTTAAAAGGAAAATTAAAAAACAACCTTTAAGGGCAAAGAAAATATGTTTGGAGGCTAAATCTGGCCTTCCAGTTAAGAGATTATAATCTCTGCCTAAAAAGTATAAATCCAAAAAGTGAAGAAGAGAAAAAAGGGCATTCTAAACACACAGAACAGTACATCTTTTATTGAACTATATTTCTACYCAGTACTAAAAAGAAAAACAACAACAAAAAAAAATAAAATAAAAAATAAAAAAACACACAAGTATGTGTTAATCCATTTAAACTCATATTAATTTGGGGTTCATTTTTAAGTCATAGCAGGTTTTACAAATAAATTTTTGTGTTTTTCTGGGAAAAAGAAAAAGGAGTTCTTCCGAGATCAGATGAGATCGGGAGCGTTCAGGGTGGTGTGGCCATAGACAAGAAAAGGAGTTCTTAAAAGAAAATTTTCTTTAGCAGAAGTAACAAAGAGCCTCAAATCTAAACACAGGTAAAAATAAAGGCAATTTTTAGTTGTATTTATGAAATTAGAAATATCTTTTTTATATCAAATTAAAAATGTTTATAATTGTTAAGGATTATTCCATGATTTAAATAGAATTAATATGTAAACAAGTAAGCATAGTAAATTCTATACATTATAATAAAACTAGAAAATTAGCTTAAAATTTCATAAGAATTCTGTAAAACAATGTGTTCATAAAATAAACTATTTTGAGAAAAATTATAATTTCTACATACCTTTTTTTCTTTGGGACCCTAAAAGTTGGAAAACAAATGATAAATTTTAAAAATAATTCAGATATTTTCAACAAAAATATTATGATTATGTAAGATGTTAAAATTAGGAGAACCTTGGTAAAGAGCATAAAGGAACTCTCTGTACCATCTTTGCAACTTTTCTGTAAATCTAAAGTTATCCTAAATTAAAAAGCTGTTTAAAAAATGATTTAGGTTAAACATAAAACCACACACACAATTCAGACAAAACTATAAGTATGTACTACAGGAAAAACTAAGATAGTTCACCCATGAGGGCATCTTTTGTACATAGTTTCCAACAATATTTCTTATGACAATCAAGGATCTATTATTTAATAAAATACTCTATCACTAAACTGAGTGCCGGTCAAGAAAGTACTGGTTTAAAGGGTTCCAAAAGTAATAAATYGGTGACTAATTATTGGCAGTAACATCAAATGTGCAAGTGTGAAAATGATCTCATTTTATAAAGAAATAATCTTTCTGTATAATAAGATGGGWAGGTTTTATTGAAAGGGATTTGGTTATATAAAGAAGGCAAAGCTATGAAGATTTAAGGTTCTTTACAGCAGATCTATTCTTTTCTCGAAGTTATTTTGGAAAGTAAAATATTTCAATAAAGATTTATAATCATGAGTATTTTCAATAACATTACTTGTTATTGATAAAGCCAATATATCCATCAGATTTCTTGTAAGGAATTTGTAGTAGATCATGTGATTATATGATTACATATATTTGAAAAGCTATACAAGGAAAATACTGGTTCAAGTCACAAGATTATCACTATATAACACATTAGATTTCATCTTCTTGAAAAGTATATATATTTTACTGATTCAGCAGATATTTACTAATGCTTTATGCGTAAGGCAGTCTGAGGTGCTGTAGACAAAGTACAGAGGAATAATAGATATTTTGATCTCATATGGTTTTTACAAATGGGTTATATTTTTGTTATAATATTAACTATCAATTAATAGAAACGTGTTCAACCAGAAATAAATACTATACAGCAGAATATGTAAATAACATTGTTCTTGTTCTTGAGTAGCCCTATTTTAAGATGGGCAAACTGTTATCTCTCGTGAGTGCTTCTAATATGAAACAGGTTAGGGGTAAGTACATATCCTCATTCCTCCTGAAAATCATAAGAGCTATTATGCAGTAAAATAGTTCTCAAAGTTCAGAAGGCATAAAAATCATCTGATAATCTTTCATAGAAATSCATGTTCCTGAACTCACTTCCCTTCCCATGTTATGATTCAGCAGATGTGACGAGTTGAATTGTGTTCTTTCTAAATTCACATGAAGAAGTCCTAAACCCTTGTATCTAAGAATTTGACCTACTTGGAAATAGGATACTGCTGACTTAATTAGTTAAATTAAGACGAGGACATAATGGAATAGGGTTGGTGTTATAAAAAGGGGAACCTTGGACTTAAGACACTCTTGTGGGGAGAATATCTTGTGAAGAATGAAGTTATGTTGACACAAACCAAGGAACTATTAGAAGCTAGAAGGTAGGTCTGAATAAGTCCCTCCTTAGGGTCTTTAGAGGAAGCATAGCCCTGCTGATGCCTTGATCTCTGTAACTGTGAGACACAAATTTCTATAGTTTAAGCTACTTAGTTTGTAGTATTTCATGGCAGCCAGTTCAATGTTTGGAGTTGAGTGGGTTTTTGGAATCTGCGTTTTTAACAAGTACTCCAGTGAGTTAGCGATAAAAGCTCCAGGGGCTACAATTGAGAAATATTGCTATAAGAATCTAAGAAGAAGAAACTTCAACTCACATTCAAAAGGAACAAATAGGTACTTTTTGTTTTCCCAATTTACCAATAGTTTTAAATTGGCTTCCCGTTTGTATTCTGACAGAAGTGCTCTCTACTACCTATTTCTTCCCACCACTTGTAGAAAACTCACATTTATATTTTAAAACAGGTTGAAAAACCCAACTCTTTCCTGTCTCCCCTTTCCCCCAATTTAATCATTTCCAACTTTGAGTTACCCCCTTTTAGATTCTTCAATTGTTAGTTATAAAACTGTATTGAAGTTAATTTGTTTCATCTGCCTCCCATAGAAGGGTTGTCACATTGGTTTTCATATCTAGCTTCCACCCCAGCGCCAAAAACAAAGAATGCACTCCATATTTTCCTTTAATTAATGCATTAAATAATTAACCAAGTAATTACATTCTCCACTTCCTCTGGTTTTAATCATAGAAGATCTCTTGGTGGAAATCACATTTAAGAAAATGGGAAAAGAGATCAGCTCATARTTATGTGTTGGTTTGTCTCCTTGGGGAAGACTTGACAGCTGGGTACACAAAAACAAAATGTGAAGCTTTATCATATTTAATGCAGATTGACTACACTGAATGATAAAACAATTCATACTCCTAAGAAATACCACACAAGATAACCTTTCAGAGTACAATAAATTTATCAGCTTTTAATTAACTACAGAAGAGATGTAAATACATATTTGCCAAATTTGAATAAGAAAGCAAATTAGTGGAAACGTCTATCATTGGGAATTACTAGGTTGGGACTGTTTTCAGTTTAGCAACAAGTAAGATTAGGACATCATGTTACCATTATGGCTATCTGTTTGCAGAAATTGGTTTGGGACTCCCATCTGTCTGCTGGACTCAGGACCCCAAGGCTACCAGTCTGGAGAAAACGGACCCGCCCCGGGCTAAGGGTTCTTTCCTCAACTGAGCCGCTCCTTTCTAAAATATGACGGGCTCTTGTTACGTCACTCAACACTGGTGAAGCTGAATTAATGCTCGCCTCTTGAACTACCTCTCGTTTTCCCCTCTCACCATGAGGAAGCAAGAACGACCTTCCCCGTCAGCAAAGTCAGAGCTCAGTTGTGAACAAACGCTGCCCAGGTGGTCAAGACAACAAGCACCGCCCACTTGCGCAACATAGGCGGAGCTCAGACCCGCCCATACCGGCGTGCGTCGCCGCACAGAGAAACTTCCGGTTGTCGTCCCGCCCCCACCGCTGACAGGTTGCCTCAGCTTCACCCCGTCTGGCTGGGCTGTGGAGGAGCCGTGAAGTCGCCTGGGTCAGAGGCTCTTAAGGCTGTAGCGTACCGGAAAGCGCCAGAGTGCAGCCACCGGGGCGCTTTGTTGTTTTCCGGATTCTGGGGTCTGGAGTTGGTGAAGTATGTCTGGGCGAGAGCCACTGGGTGTGGGAAGGGGTTTCTGAGCGTCTTCCGACGCTGACAGTCTCTCTCCTCTTCTTGCCTAAAGTGTGTCGGGGCGAATCTTTCTGGGAGGGTTTCCAGAAGAAAGGGAGCGACCCGCGTTTGGTTCAAGCGACAGACATCCTAGTGCGCTACCTGGGCCACCAGAGTTAGGCCAGCCAGGGGACAGGATCATTTGCAAATTTGGATAGGAACAAATTGACTCCTAGAGGGTTGGTTACTTTTAGATTAACATAGTCCAGAATCTTCTCTCTGCTCGTGGATCTGTTTACTTTCTGTGAAAAGTACGTTTCCCCTATCCTAAGGACAGCCATAAACAAGAATTGAAAATGACTTGAAGTAATTAGTGGGCAAAATATTCCTAACAGTTGAAGACTGCTGAGTGCTGAGGCCCAGCAAGACTTATGTGCCCAAGGTCACACACTTAAGTGTACTAACAAATAGCACAACTTTCATCATTTCTGTCCCTTCCGCACATGAATAAACACCGGCACCCCACACCAAGAGGAAAATGAGAAGAAATTAAGTGACTGTTATTTTTCCAAAGCCCCAATTTTTCTCTGTGATTTTAGGACCTGTGTAAACCCTGTTTTTTCATGACAAGGCCGGAAGTATTGGCCCTGTTTCTCATCTCTGAATTCTAATAATGCTCTATCCCTTCCAACACCGTTGATGAAATGTATTATTGATTTTTTAAAAAGTAGTACCGACAGAACTAGCCTTTGTGGGTAAAACATTATAAGCCCCACTTAACATAAGTCTTAGTGTGTAATAGTTATTACATCCCACCTACCTCCACATGCTGGAAGCTAGATAAAAACATCTGTTGTTTTTACTTTTGGCTTCATTGGAAGCCCTTTTACAGCTCACTGTAGCTATTTGGTATAGAAGTGTGCTTTTGTTTTGAATTAAACAAAACTACTAATATTTAATACAAAACCTTAGTCATCTCTTAATTAGGATCGATGGGGCAAAGGATAATGGTAAACCCAAACTACCTTAAAATGGTAGACCTCCAGGGGAAAGAATCTACTCAAGCTCTCTGTTAACCTCCTTCCCTGGGAGGAGGAATTGCATAGATGTGTTGGATTCCAAAATGCTGATCTCTGTTAGTCACTGTGGCATAAGGAATTATACTCATGAGCTTTACTGTCTACTAGTATCCTTGTACAGGCCTGCTCCCTGGTATCTCTTTACCTTCAGACAGTTGTAGCACCTACCTGCCCCTTCTAAACATACCTATCCACAACTCACTTTGTATAGTCTGCTTTCCAGGCCTAGATGAATGTGTATGCTGGCCTTTAAGGGTAAAATCTCTTGTCACCTGTCTCTTGATTACTTATCTGCTGATGGCAAGTGTGTTGGTACAATTTTTGTGTATAAAGCTTTCTAGGATTATCTAGTTTGGGGAAATTGTGCTTCACCTGTTTAAGTCGACTAGAACCAATTACAAATAACGTTATACTGCCTCTCTTTTGTGTTTTCCTTCAGCTTATGTTGTTATCTGAACTTTATGGGAAAGGGTAATTAACAATTTGGGCACCATAACTCCTAGTAAATKGACAATTCACTGTTAACCTAGGAGTGGAGCTGATTGTTAGTTAACTCCTAATCTGCATCAATGAAAAAAATCAATGGGGATTGCACCTCTTTCTCACCCATCACATACCCAAGTTCTTAGAATAATGGGGAGTTTCTCTTAAACCCTAATTTTTTTGGCTTCCATAACTTCCATGACTTCATGAAGAGTTAAGCAGCAGCCCATGTCCCTGCTGGACTTAAAATAGTTTCCTAAATTGGAAACCCAGGAAGACCTGTTTCTCCCAATAGCTGAAATAAACTCAAATGCCTGAAAGTCAGCAATATAACAATAAACTGACTTCATTCACATAACATCAAAGAATTGGACAATTTTTACCTTAGCCACACTAGCTACATTTTTTGCGGCAAATCTTTTATTAATAATTTGTTTAAAAAAAAGCCAGCAACATAAATCAGGTTCTCAAAAAGCTTTCATATATTACAAATTGTTAATTAAATGAAGCCAGGTTCTTTGCCAGACATTAAACAGTCTATTGCAATTTAAAATTATATCTATGCATTTAATTTTGAATTTTTTGAGAACCACATGGTTCTTTAACATTCTTAAGAATAGCTCACTCTGATAATGGCCCTTCCCCCAAAAATATTTTAATGAAATACCTTAGTTGTTGTTTGGTAGGTTCAATATACMCTGATTTTACCCCCTTCCAGAATTCTACTGTCTCTTTCTGAAGGGATATAAAAATGGAGATTTGGAGAGGTTTTGACAGCAATAAAACTTTAGAAGCTGGAAGACAATGAATAAAGGTGACCTAGAAAAACCCAGTTTTTACCACAGTATTCTTAAAAGACATTGGAACAGCGGGCCCTGGAATTGGAGGTGAAGAATGAAAATTAAAGAGAACTAAATGAAAGCATTTGATAGACTCCTTTAAGTAACTATACCCCTCATTCCCACAGATGACTGGAGGTTTATTTCTAGACAAAGTAATACTAGGGCATCTTCAAGCATACTATAATACATGAGAAGCGATAGAATTTAGGTATTCATAATGCTGAATGCAAGACCCTCATTCCTCTTTCTTTTTAAGGTTTAATAGGCAAACCCTCAGAGATTGGTAGACTGCTCAGGGAACTGAGCAGCCCAAGAGGTACAATCCAAGATACATCAGAAGGTAAAGGACCCACCTAGGATACCTGAAGTGAAGTTCAAAGGCTATAAGCTTCAACCAAAGATGCAGATCTAGAAGGCTTTTTTGTCCCTAAAAGAATGGACAGAAAAAGAACACCAGATTTTGGAAGAAAGCTCAGAAGTGATAGAGATAAAAAAACAGGGGGTGGGGGGAGAGCAATTGGGAATAAAATAGAAAGTTTCAACAAAGCTAACAGTGAACTCAGAAGGGGAGAAAAAAAAGGGTTGACTCCATTATGTGTTTATTACGTGAGTTAGCTTATAAACTACAAGAGAATTTTCTAAGTATTAGTGTGGAAATAATTTTGATTCCTATGTTGGTCTTTCCCCCTAAAGAGAGGCCAGAAAAAAAGATATGAGTCAGCAAGAAAAGGTCTTTGCTTAGCTGCTATACTGGCAGGAGGTACCTTTTATATATACTATTTTACATTGTAAAATAAGAGCTTATATCCAGTACTTCCTCCCCAGGGAGGCATACCGCAAATTATGTGTAGCTGCTGACTGGGGGCAGGTTGAACACCTACCCCTACTCACTAACTGGCAGCCTGATCATTTGGATAGATCTCTGCTTACATATGTATCTTAATGTCTTATCAGAATTCCTATTCTATTTTTAGTAGTTTTACTAAGGCATAATTATATATAATAAAGTATAATTTGATAAGTTTGATATCTATTATACAACTATGAGACCTTTACCATGAAAAATAAACATATCCATCATCCCCAGTGATTGCTTCATTCATGTTTGATTCTCACCCAAGTCTCCAGCCCCCTACTCCCATCCTCAGACTACTCTATTATTTTTAACCTCTCTGTGGTCTCTTCCTATTCTGAGAGAAGTCTAAATGTTTCAGATTAACTGTCCAAGTACCATTTCTGGTTTTGAATACTGCTCTGATTTCAGCTGTATAGAATTTTTTTTTTTAAAGAGAGAGTGAGAGACAGAGATAGAGAGAATTTTTTTTAATCTTTATTTTTTAGTTTTCGGCGGGCACAACATCTTTGTATGTGGTGCTGAGGATCGAACCCGGGCCACACACATGCCAGGCAAACTCGCTACCACTTGAGCCACATCCCCAGCCCCAGCTGTATAGAATCTGAGGTATCTGATCAAACATATCTCCCATAGCCTCTCTTATTATTTTTAATGTTTTTGCAAAATCAAAGTTTTTCAGAGATACATATATTATGTAATTACAAAAACATCTGTGTTCTTAAAGCAAGAACAGGATACTGAAAAAAAAATTAATAATAAGAGTTCTTAAAGATTATAGCAAAAAGGAAAAAAATTGATAGAACACTTGGAAGATTATGAGAAAATATCCCAGAAAATTGAAAAAAGAAAAAAAAGAAAGAGGGCATATCTAGAATTTCACACACTCAAATAATAGGAGTTCCTAGAAGGGAAAAAAGAGAAAATTGRGGAGAGGGACACGAAACTAGGAACAGAATTAATTTCTTTCCCAGACTTCAGAGTTTCCAGATTGCAAAAGCTAAGTGTATCACAGAGAAAGAAAATAAACCCTTGCATTGTAAAGTTTCAAAATCTTCAAAGAAGTCTCAAATTTCTGAGGAGATGAAAAAAATACATCACATATAAATAAAAGATCATTTATCCAGGCTGCTTTGAACTTCTTAATAGCAGTGCTGGAAGTAAAATTACAGATGAGCAATTGCTTCAAAATGTTGAAAGAAAATTGTTTCCAGTTTAAAATTCTATACCCAACCAAACTATCAATCAAATATAAAGTGGCCAGCCATTTTTAGACATTCAAAGTCTTATTTACTCCTATATGCCCTTTGTATTAAAGGATGTGCTGTACCAAAACAATAAAATCAGAAAAAGGGACACTTTGGAAAATGAGAAGTAGGATAGTCAATACAGAAGACAAAGGAATTTCTAGGATGGACAAATGACATCCCAACACAATAGTTGATATGGAACAACCAATCCAGAATCAAACTCACATTGAGAGCTATCTATCAAGATTCCTGTTACCATTGGACCCTCTTTTTATGAGGACATTAAACCAAGGCAGGTCTGGCAGATTCTAATCAGTACCTGCCTTGTCTGGACCACATGGAAATGAAATACCTGCTCTTTTCTGTGCTGTGTTCACTGATTGAATCAATTTAAGGACACTCATTTTGACCTTTTGCTTCAACCTGTTCCCAGAAGCTGATGTTGGGCTTTGGTGAGCTTAAAGTAAATAATAGTCTTTTCTTCCCTATTCTGTGTAATAGCCAGAAATCAAGTGTCAATATTTATACCTGATTTCCACAGGCTTCATTTGTGGAGAGCTGAAGATTCACGACATTACTAAATACTCCTGAAGGGAACTTTAAATCCTGGGGAAGGTAAAGCCAGATTAGGACTTTTGGGCTTTCATTTAGTAACAGGATTATTTCCTCTGTCCTTACTTAGACTCATGCTTGCTGTTGAAATTGTCAAAACTAAATATATTATTTAAGAAAGTGTTCATAGTTGGGAAAACTACAAAGCAAGAGTAATTTGCAAGTCATTAGTGGTCATCTTGGTAGAGATGGGAAGGAGATGACTGGAAAGACGCATATGAAGGCTTCAAAGATTTAATTATTTCATAACCTGAATGACTTTAAATTTCCACATTTTTATGCACTTTTTTCTTAAGCATAAGATATAAACACATAAGACAATATGCATGAAAACACTGACACCCTACCTTTCAAATTATGAAAGATGTAAATTTTGTCAAAATGCCTAAATGAGGCAAGGGGACTGCCGCAGTCTTGGCTGAGCACAAAATCATGAGCCACTCACCTTGTAGATTCAAACAGCAATTCTTTATTCCCAAACTCACACCGGCCCTGTACAAACACGTTCTCGGGAAATCCAAGTTCTGCCGCCCAATTCACGTCCCAAATACTTTCTTAATTCCACGAGAACTCAACGGGAACTCAGGCAGCAGGATACGCCCTATTCCCAGCAGCAATAACCTTCAACCTGGAACTTCCTTAAACGCAGATTGTCTTAAACCGGGAACGCCTTAAACCCAAGGAGCGGGATACTTCCTAAAACCTGCAGGATACACCCTAAATCTGGATCCACCCTGGTCCTTGAGCAGGGTCACCTTTCTCAAACACACATGCAATGTCACAGCGAACTTCCAAGGCAAGTCCATTTAACATGGGGTACGCTGGTAAGGAAATTTCGATGCGTCATTCCTACTTGGCAATGGCCCTCAGCAGGGGATAGGTGAGGTCTTAATGATGAGTCTATATTATTGTACTTTAGGACTGAACCAAAAGAAAAGTAATGGGAGGACTTAGCACAATTATTTCTAACTGAACATGGTGCTATAATTTTAATTTATACTTTCTGCTAGTTAACTATAAAATAACCCTTAAAACTTATGTACAAAAAAATCTTCAGTTCAAAGGTCATTAAGTGGGTGGGCATCTAGAGAAAGGAAGAGAGATGAAGGGATTGTAAGGTAATATCCCAGCAAATGGTATTGGAGCTCAAATGAATGAGAATGGTCTTTGGGGGTTAGGAGGGGTTTGTTTATAAGAGCCTACCATGAAGTGAGGAGAACATTTTTTTGGATAGAGAAGGTGGTGGCACAGGTTGTTGCAGCTGGAACAAGTGAAACTTATCTAGGAAGGGGGTAGTGGCACAGCATAATTGTTGAGCCTCCAAGAGGGAGATGAGAAGAAAGGAATGGGAAGAAGAAAATGTGGGATGGTGGAACTAGGTGGCAGAGCTCAGAGTAGTGTGTGTTGAGTGGTGACAGTGACAGGAATTTGGTTGCCTTGTGGGTGGAGGAGTGATGATCCAAAAAGCAAATTTATGGAGGATAATGAGAACCAGATTTCTTATTGGTGGACAAGAGTGCTAAAACTATGGAAAGGAAAAACTAAAATGAAAACAAACTTGTAATGTTGGAATCGAATGTTATCAGGTTATATAGAAATTTGTATAAAAATAATTGTGTATGTATACACATATCACACTTAATCTACATGTATATACATTTGTTTGCAAGTTTGCCCACTGAAGAGGTCCTTGGAATAGTGACAAACCCACTGTTTTAAGCACTTCTAGCTCCCATATCTTGGTTTCTAAAATATTCCATGAGGTGGTAGTTTCTAAATACCATTGTCCACTGAAAGACAAACAAAAAGTAGGTACTTTGGAGAAATAACTTGAATAACACCACTTTAATCCAGTGATCAAAATTGGAACCATAAAGGAATATCTTGGAATTGTGTCCATCTGATAGGATGCAGTGTGAGGGATTTTGATTTAATTCTGATAGTTATAACTAGTAGGAATTATTTTGTGTTTAGGCTGTAATGGTGCCTTTAAAGAGCTTTCTCTCCTTATTGTAGCATTAACAAAGATATAGAGAGAAGCATTTTGCATGCCACTGGATGTTGCCTCTTCTTCAATGGACACCCTTGTACATAAATAAGTAGATAGATGGTTTATCTATCATATTGTTTATCTACTAATCACTGCCAACCTGTTTTATTCACATACTCAGTTTTAGTTTTTAACCTTCCTCTGGAGACTACCCTTCTAGATTTGATCAGGACTCTTAATATCCCCCAAACAGACCTGGCCTTGCCTTGAGAACAGGGTAAAAAGAATTTTCCCTTAAAGAAAGCGAAGCTCAAAAGTTAAGTAACCTGTAGAACACATTTTGCAGGTGGGAGTAAAATCTAGTTCTCATTCCACTGTGTAGTAAAAGGAGACAGTGCTTTGTACTTAAGATAATCTGTTTTCTCATAATCTTCTCTCCTTCATAGAACTTGTCACCATTCATAATTATCTTGTTTATTAAGACTCCATTAGAAGTAGTTTTGTACATGTTCATAGCTATATCTCAGTACCTCAAACATCAATAAAAGGGCTACTTACCAAAAGGTTAAAAAAAGGTACCATTTCCCAGTGTATAAGATCTGCATTATTTTAAGAATACAGTGGAGTTATTTACAAAAAATTTTCCTTTTCTTTAGGTATGTTATGTATAAAAGTGGATTAATTTAAATGTTAAACGAAAATGGCCAATTCTTTAAGAGGAGAAGTACTGAATCTTTATAAAAATGTGAGTAATTATGTTGCCAGTTTTACAAATGTTGTCATATAACCCTGATTATTTAGAAATATATAATCTTTCTTTTTCAAGCTGCTGTACCTTGGACGGGACTATCCAAAAGGAGCAGACTATTTTAAAAGGCGTTTGAAGAATGTTTTCCTTAAAAACAAAGATGTGAAGGATCCAGAGAAGATCAAAGAACTTATTGAACGAGGCGAATTTGTCATGAAAGAGCTGGAAGCCTTATACTTCCTTAGGAAATACAGAGCTATGAAACAACGCTATTATTCAGACATCAACGAAACTAAGTGATCATTACTACTATAAATCAGCTGAAAACTCAGTACCATCTGTTTTGTGTATACCAAATATTCTAAACTAGAATGGCAAGATATACATGTGTAAAAAAATACCTGAACTGTCCTGCTGAACCAAAACTAGTATGTTTCAACCAGATAACTAAGAGATACATCCACAATCCTTTATGCTCAATTTTTATTAAAATAACAATTTAACTTATACTACCAATTATAAATTAATAAGAACCCAGTAAGAAATTGTTTTCTAACTTTAGTCTATTACTTTTAGCCAATTTCTCCCTTGTACTGACAAGAAAATGCCATTTAATAAGCAAAATAATTTCTTAGCACATTTATTCTCTTATTTTTGACCCAATTTGGTACATTAAAGCACATATTAAAGGATGATTAAAAAAATAACACCTAGTAATGATTTAAATGCAGTTCTAGAAATAACAGATATGAAGGAAGATTACTTCTGACCTTGAAATAGCCTCCCAGTGATTGGCATTACATAACTATTATTTCCATTATTAACTTTGCTGTTGACTCCCTTGGGCCTTAAATCATTTGTTGTGAATCAATTACTTTCTTTCAAAATAAAATAATAACCTTATTCTATTTTTTGTCATAAAAGCAGATTTGTTTTGCATCTACTTCTGCGTGAATTAACATGGTGGTGGGCCTAACCTTATATGAATTTAGTTCAAACATTACACAATGTTCTTAGCAACTTCCATAAACAAAGAACATTTCTAAATTGTAAAAGCTATAAAAAGGATCTACTAGTATACTTTAGTGTATACATCTTATAAAATGTTCAATATCAATTGGGGAGCAAATGTTTTGAGAATTTCCATTAAGAAATACACATTGTCAGGGCTTGGGATATAGCTCAGTGGTAAAGCACTTGCCTAACACATGTGAGTCCCTGGGTTTGATCCTCAGTACTGCAAAAAGAGAGAAAGAAGGGGAAAGAAGATTATAAAGAAATAAGAAAGACACACTACCACAGTCACCATAACTATTTTTTATTACATTACAATTAGGAGCAGTACAGTTCATGACAAAAATATTACAAATTTCAGATCACTTCACAGCACATACTCCTATAAACATTTAAAAGTTAATTTTAATTAAAAGAGTGGTCATTCTTAAATTTAACATTTGATATGACCAACATTCCTAGGTCAGCGCAACCAAATGATGGAAAACAACTGGATCACACTGCATATGTCCCACAAAAAAAAGCACAATGTACAAAATGTGCATGTTTCAGTTTACACTATACAAAAATAGTTAAAATACATTCCAGGTAAACATGTTACATTAAGAAATAGTACTAGTAAGAAATTGGCACTCAAAGGAAAAATGCAAAAGTATTTTCAACATGAAAACACAAAAGACAGTGGAACTGGAAACTTCCAGATAAAACATATAACCCATTTAGCTCTACTGGGGTGGAGGCGGGAAGTGGACCCTCTGAAATTGACGTTTCTGCAGTAATAACTTTGTTTTTCCTAATTCATCTAAAATGCCTATCATCATCCCAAACAGGCACTTTAAACTATGAAGCTAAAACACAAATTTTAATCTAGCTATGACTATTCTTCAAGAACTAATATATGTCTTTAGAAAGAAATAATTTTCATTGACAGAATTTCACAGCTACCAGCTTTAAGTTAATCACTTTCTCAATGTAGAATTCATGCTACTCAATATAACAGAAGTTATTAATAAATCCAGCTTTAAAGTAACTGCTAAGTTTTAAAAAACATTACTTTTTTCAAGAAATTACTACTTTTTCACAAATGGGAAATTATTTCAGATAATTTTTACTGCCTACAAAATAAATCTCTATATGTGTATTGGGGGGAAAGGTGGTTAGAAGAAAAAAAATCACTAGAATAAAAATGAGATGAAGTTGTGCAAACTGTAACTTAACATGCCTCACAATGTTTATAAGGACAAAATTGTGCAATGGTGGCAAAGATTTCTGATAACCTATAAAAGTTAGGTTCTAAATTCCTATGCAGTGTGACTCAGTTAATAGAGCCTAGAATTCCTAATTGAGAACATTCACTCAAATTATACTACATATGTCTGCTATATTCTTCCCACAAACGTTATTTGTCTAAGACTATGTAATTTAGCACTATTTTCCAACTTCAAGAATTTTTATCTTTAAGGCTGTAGTAATTAGATAACATTTATGTTTATTTCTAGAATTCTCTCCCTTTTTAATATCTCTACAAAACAGTGTTAAACCATTCAAACATAAGAGGATAATTACCACTACCTTAAAAATTTGCCCAGCTACACCAAAAAATTCAAGAGTCCTAAGTATCCTGAATACTGCAATTCCTGAATTGTCCATTTCCTTCTCTGTGTAGCAACAAAAAGTACTGCATAAGTCTTAACAACCTACCCAGTATTCCACAAATCTGTAGTTTAATAAAGCATTTCAGAAATTATATTGATTTTTACACAGAAATTTCCTTTACTGTGAATTAGCTCAGGCACCTGTTTTATTTGTACCCCAATAAAACTATTTTAGAAGTCAATATTTAATTTTAAAAGTCTATTTTAATTATACAAAGAGAAAACTAGAATATTACATATTTGGGAATTTTTACTCCTTTAAAACAATGAAGTAAAGTGATTTATATAAAGTTGCTTGATTAAACAGTTACACTGGAATTACAGAAAAACGCCTATTGTAGAATTGAAGAAATCTGACAGACCAAACCCCCTTTTTGCAAAACAAAAGTGTGCATTATATTACCACCTCTGGATCATGTGCCAAAAGCTTTACTAAGGTATTATAGACCACTCTAGCACTCCTTAAGGATAAGAAATTATGTCCCTTTGGGGATACCACATCCCCAGTGCCTTATGTGGTAGCTGGCATATGACAGGCACTGAATAAACATTTGTTAAATAGATCAATTGTGTTAAAAAGTAAGCTTTATGATTAAATTTCAAAGTTTTCACTGTAAGAAGGTTTTAGTTATTAAAACCATGGAATGTATCATTGTTACCAGGATACTCCTAGATGTAGATTTAAGTACTACCTTTATTAAATTCTTCTTCCACTGGATAGGGTTCTGTCTATTCATACTAAGTCTGAAAATTGCTACTTAGTCACCAGTGGACCAGGCAGCAAAGACATCATGTTCAAAGGATCAAGATTAAATTGCTACTGCAATTATCTGAAAATTAGCTGTTATGTCCAATCCCATTATGGTATCTGTCAGATTATTTTGAGCCCTGGGGAAGAGAGACAATTTGATGTACCTTAATGGGCAGAGTTCATGGAGACATCCATAGCAGCAATAAAATTTGAGGTGAGGGGAATTAAAAAAATTTAAAAAAAATTCTCTCAACTCATGGTTCATGTGGAAGGGTAGGCAGGCAAAATGCCATTAATATGGGAGTGGAGTACTGAAACTGGAGAATGTATTTTCAAATATAAACTTCACCTCTTGCACAATTTTGCCCAAGACTGGCACTGAATACAGGTAAAAAGTTACAGATTGTGCTGAGCTTGAAAAATAGGTATATCTTTATGTAAACAATGTAAATTACATAATGTAAAGCCTTTGAGATAATTTTTTAACATGCACAATGACCTGCCCCAAATCTGAGTTCTAAAAGACATCTAGAATCTAACTCATTTTCCTCCTAGTCCAGTGATATTTTCATCTCGCCACACCATCTTGCTTCAAATATTTTAAGGTAACACTTCAAATGCACTGTAAGAATTGGACTTTATTATTTAAGTATTTTCAAAGCATTGGGTATTCTTAAGTATGGATCAGACTTGAAAAGCATTTATGAAATGTTACTTTAGCCAGGGTTAAAAGAACTATAAAAGTGGAGAGTTTGAAATTACTCTCTCCTGGTCCCCATTTTGACCAACCAATGCATGACAATGCTGGATGACCATGGGGATACAGTCCATGCTATGAAACTCTCAATGAAGCTTGGTCTCTTCAATACCTACTAAGCTAAAACTGGCTCAAATAATCTTTAACATCACTACCAGAACTAAAACTATTTTCAAAGATTGAGGTTCCAGAAAGATTTAAAGTTATGCTAAGAATAAATAATCTGACACAGGGAGACTATATTTAATTCCTATGAGAATTTTTATACATGTTAAAATTGTTTCAATTATTATAAAAATTTAGTTGCATGTAAATATAGCCCCCAAATGGTGGCTATAATCCCCATTTCATACTGGATTTGCCTTAACAGGAAAAGCTAGGAGTCTTACAGTAATTTATCTAATGTGGAATGTCAATGGCCTTTTAATATTTTCCATTACCTTACTTTTTTTTCTCTTTTTTTCCTTTTTATAGAAAAAATATAATATTTTTAGGATAATGACCATTACGAATAGCAGTGGAAAGGGGGAGAAAGCCTTTGTGAACAATGTCTGTTTACATTCATGAAGGATGACGAACTATAGGACATGATGTCTTGAAGAGAAATTGAAAGAAAGCCCATAAACGTGTGATCCTTCTATGTTTTAGTAAAACCAATCATAAAATTGCAACTGAAGTTATAATTACTAATTAATTCATTTATGTAACTAGATAAAGTACAAAATAGGGATGATTCAAAAGCTTCATTAATCTGTTTCACACCAACATTCACAATTGGTAAGAAAAATAGGAAGTAATCAACTTGCATGCACCAAAAACCCCAAGATGGAAATCTCAGGTATTCAGTTTCTTTTTCACAGGCATTGCTAGTTCAAAAACCAAAATTCAGGGAATACTGGCACTTAGAGGGGAATAAAAGTTTCCACTGTCATTTTAAAATAAGCATTTAAGATAAAAGCTAAGTTTGCATGGAACAGAAAAAAAAATTAAGTAATGCTAAACAAATGCTAATAATTTAGTGTAATGTACAAAAATTACCACTTTTACTTAAGTATGCCTTAAGAAAAAAGTACAAATTGTATTTACATAATTATACACTTTGTCTTTGACTTCTTTTTCTTCTTTTTACCATCTTTGCTCATCTTTTCTTTATGTTTTCGAATTTCTCGAACTAATGTATAGAAGGCATCATCAACACCCTGAAATACAGAAAAAGTATTAAAATGTGAATATATATACATGGTGGTTTGAGGTAAAAAGATGACGGACTTCCATTATTAATGTAAATATTAACACTGATAAAGAATAAATACACTTTCCAATTTTCTTCCAGCAATTAAATATATCAGACTTTGAGAATTCTTTGGCAAAGAGAACCTCTGATTTTTACAAAAGGCAGAGATAATCAGTGGCATTGATCATATGCAAGCTTAACAAATGACTTTTTCCCCAAGGAGAACTTAATTTGCTACTAATTTTACATATTGAAAACCTTAATTGTCAAAGTCCCAATGTGTATATGCATGCATGTATGCATGAATATGTGTGTACATTTATCTGTCCCTGAGATTCTGGACTTTGGATATAAGATATATAGATTCATAAATTCTCATGGCAATAATATTTTACCTCTGGTTCTGTACTTACATAAAATCATTTGGATTTAAATAATTTCACCAAGAAGTAAACAGTATCTAGACATATTTTCTCAGTTTTCAAATAATGTGTTCA